GCATTGCTTCTTCACATGGCGAAATTACACCCTTTCAGATAACAAATAACCCACTTCATCGCCACTGCATCATTTTTATACACGGCTGCATAATTTCAAGCGAAGCCAGAACACTCACTGACATCCAGTATAGAATAGCAGAGACAAATCAACCGAATTTTTCAGATTATCGACGAACTCAATGTCACTTTCAAGATTGATAATATTCACATTGTTTGTAGAGTACAAGAAAATTAGAGTATAAATAATGTATTATGAAGACTTATAACTAACACTTTACAAAAGATAACGATGAATCCACTAGTCTTTTGAAATAATAAGAGTTCCTCTCTATATCTGATACTATCATTCATAATCATTTAGATATTTTCTGCAAAGTATAACTCAAGAAAAGTAGCTCGCCTGTTATAGTTAGTACTGATTAGTGAGGATTGTAAACTAGTTAACTACTTAACGATAAATTGTTGCAATATTCTGTTTTCTGTTCAGGTATATGCTGTATTATCAGCGTGATTATGTTTTATCAAAACTATTCCAGCTCTCACATGAGTGTTCGGCCACATTCCAGCTCATGGTTACTCGGCGTTATTTTGGCTTCGTTTCAGCTTGTTGTATTCGTATTCATGTATATTTTCTACTGAGAAGTGACTGGTTTTCATATTTACAAATCATGAATGTTATGAAGATGGAACATTATTTACCTAGTATTAAACTTAATTAAATGAACAAGTTGATAAAACTTCAGGTTTTTCACATAATTTTATTTTGATAAATCATGAACTTCACGAATGAAGTAAACAAAAATATTTCATGAATGTTTTTGAAGTAAATCGTTTTATTAATCTCAAGTTTTACTTCGATTAAATTTGTGAGATCAGTTGTAACAGACTGAGTTAACTAAGATATGACGTTGGGCAATCAATCATTCACTAATAATAACTCAACGAAAGGTGAATATCGAGTCAAACATATAAACCTCTATAGAATATCCGTAACAGGAATAATTCAGAAGGAACAATCGAAGAATAAGTGTCCCATAAGAGATCAGTTTATCTTACTGCAATGTGTTCATGTGTGTATCATAAGAATGTTATTTAACGGATTTGGTATCATGAGAATACTGTAGTTCTCTTCGAAAGATGGAAGTAGTTTTTTCATAAATGATAAATCATTGACGGAAAATTTTGTTCTAAAAGAATGAAAGATATTAAGAATTCTTATAAATTAGAAGTGTTCCTGTGTTCCTAATCAGTATTCACTGAACAGCGATAAACACATTTATCCACTACAGTTCATGCTGTTTAAGTCTTCCACGAAGATACCAAATTCAAATTCATTTCCATAACACTATATTCGATGATCCATTTTGTGGCGTACTAGTTAAATTAAGGTTAAATTCAACTATGGATGAATGAATTCCAAGTGAAATACGTACTTGATTCACACACTGTTACTCAGTAGTAACAGCTTGAGCACTAAAATCCTAGTAGAATATTGGACGTCATTAGTAAATCAGTTTCTGTATATAAATTTATCATAATCTCACCGATGTCTAGGTTTCGCAACATTAACTCACAGAGGATGAGATTTGTGACTGACATCAAACTACATGGGGGCTAATAGTCGAAAAAATATATTCAGATAGAAACACATATTGGTAAGTTATCGTCTGAGGATGCTGTCAAATTGTGTTCAGAAGGGATATTCATAAAACGAATGCCTTTGAATTCAGTACAGAAGTGCTCAAGAGGTGATGGTTACCGAATTTCAATATTATGACTTCAGTTTTATTCTCTCTGAAGATCTCACAATCATATTTAAGTAAAATGATAGCTTCGCTCTATCAAGTTGTGTTGAGGAGATTCGTAATAATTAAACTGAAAATAATAGTGTTCAGGAATCTATGAACGGATAGTATCATAGCAATTAGGCCCCGAGTTATTTTCAGACATCAAGGAGGAAAAATCAGTTGAAAACCTGAGACTTTTACAAATATGATTGTCTCTCCTTACCGTTCGAGAATCGTTATAATATAACAGATTAATAATATTGCTACTAATTTGGTGAATGCATGTGTTTAACAATCACGTATTAATTAATCATTTCATCTGTATATTCAGCTGAACCATTTCGGTGAGGTTGGTGTGAGACATGAAATAGATGAGTAGATTACAAGTATCTGGTCATGAATACCTTCGGTACGTCGTTTGACTGTTGTCAGACAAGCGAATGTGTAGTGTTAAGACTAGAAGTAGAATACCAAATAGGAGAAAAGTCACGCGGGGAGATTATGGTGTGTGAGAATCATGTACCTTACGCTTAGCTATGGTCTGCCTCAATGCACTATGTTCACTGCAAGAAGAGGGAGGTGGGGAAAATGTACAGTAGTCAGGCTAAGACAAAGTGCCAGTCTAAATAATCTGACCATTAGGATGCAGAATATGGGTGATGGTAGGCTTTCTGGTCAGTGTAATAATGTATCGATAACTATGACCATTCAAATTATGCTGAGATGTGTTACAATACAACGGTATATTCAGAAAGAGATTTTGCGGAATTGATTACAAATTAGTAATGCATATTAATGTTCCAAAATGAGTAGTTTTGCGATGAAATAGATAAGTTGATGCTAACTAAAAGCGGAAGGTCATGGTTGTATTGTTTGAATGTTGTGAAAAGTTGGTATATCAGTGGCATCAAAAAGTTTAGTAGAACCATGGCTTAGTTTCTAAGTGACAGACAACTTGAAACACTTAAAGATGATGAAAAAGCATAGAAATTCAAGGCTGATTAAGTTTTTATAAACCATAGCTATTAAACACTGAAAATGTAAATTACATATTGGAAACAAAGTAGTTACCAGTTGCTTTTTATTCTGATAATAATGATTTTCACCATTCTTGTGACTTTTGCTCCAGTAAAAAAATGGATGGAAATTCGATTATAATCTAAGCTCTTTATTACTTTGTTTCTTCATTAATATCATTCCATATAATTATTTTACGTTCATATATATTTTAAGTTATATCATTTTTTTATTGCTACACAAATCGACTCTCCGATTTTCTCCTCTGGCTATGATATTTATTTTAAAGCCTAAATATATAACAAACTGATACTGACAGGAAGTTAATTAGAAATCAAAGAGCATTGGAATCCTTTCGCTTTAGGTCAAGAATGCTTGTTGATTACCGAGTATAACCGGCACATGAGCTCACACTAAAACGTTACAAGCCCTGTGGTAAGAACAATACCACTAAACTGTTAAGTTAGATTTTACCATGCCTTAAACCCTACTTAGATGGATTTCCAATATAACGCCATCCTCAGTCAATGTCAAATAACTGGTCGGTCGGCGACCTCCGAAAAACACCTTATATTGATAACTATCATGTGCTTACTAGTGAAAGGAAATTTTCGTAGTTCTAGTGGAAAACCGTAACCAGTATCAGTCAGTCAGCTACAATATAGGACCAGGCACATATATGAATCAGTTCAAGTTGCCATAATTCCGCATGGAACCCCTCTAGAGCTACTGCCGGTCCCAAGCCCGGATAAATGAGGAGGGTTGGGCATGGGGTTAGCGACCCCATCCCGTAGAAAAATAAATCGCTAAAAAAGTGCTAACCACAAAAAATTATCCAAACCATTTAAACTCTGCCCTGAGAGTCGGAGAATCTTCATTTAGAAGAGTTATGACGCCTCATGGTGGAAACCGAGTTCCTTCGGAAGTCACGAAGCTGATGCCCCTTCTGACAACCAGAGTAACCATTTATTTAGGTACAAGGGCTGATCAGACTTCCAAGACAAGTAAAGTTGTCTACGCGTTTGACTACTTCACTTTAGATGTATTAATGCGGTTATCACTTCCCGGTCGCCCACATCGTGCAAGGGTTCTTCTGGAGGTTCCTGGAAAGGAAATCGGATTAGAAGTGGTCTTAGTGACCTGAAAGCGTGACCGCAGTGCCCAAGAGACAACTGTTTGAGGCCAGTCACACGCGACCTTTTGTGAGTAGTTTTCGTGTTAGCTCCGTACTTGTTGAGACCTTGCAGTCGGGGACGGATATCCGTCGGATAAGGCGAGGTGTGCATTTTTAGGGTCGACCTTTACTAACCCCACCTCTCCTTGTGGGAAGGCAGCACCTCTGTTATGCTGGTTGTCTGAAGGGATTACCTTACTGCCGTCGCATCTCTGTACAGTCAGCAGTACGACTTCGCCTTCAGACCTTGGGTTTGTTGCTTTTAGTCTTATCGCTCTTCAGCCGACCTGTTTGGCATGGTAGGATCTTGAAGAACGATTGTTCTCGTCAGTATAGTTCGATTGGTTCATCACGATAAGCAAGCCCGACCACCACGTCAAGGTATTAACAACCAGTATATTCTAAATGAATCGAGTGTGAAGCAGTTATGCAGTGAAGATGATGAACGATAGTTACACAGTTTCACGGATTGATTGAAGTTAGATATGAGAACCATTAGAAGCTAGTTCAGTGATCTAAAGGCAAGTTGCGAGATTTCTTCCTTGAATCTCTGGCGGAGTCGTGGATGCACAATGCTGAGTCATACAGCAGGAAGAAACACCTGTCCAGTGCCTCATTGTTTTTAATGGTTACACAACTTAGTTCGATTCATGATTTTAGTGTCAACTAAACTGGGAGTGAGATATAGGAAAAATAACAACATTTATTCAGTAATTTGATAAATATATGCAGACATAAAATAATCCTACCGTACAAAGCTGGCATGTACTGAATGACTTCACTTCCAACTACCCAGCTTTTTGTACTTTTACTTTACAACATGGTTATTTCTCTATCATATCTGTTGATATGAAGAAACAGCACAAATGAAAACAAAGTTGGTCAAGATATATTACTGATATTTTATTGATTAAACTATAGCGAATCCGAGTATGTACATTATTTCATATTAACAAGTGACTCTCATCAGACGATGTACAATAAATACTATCCCATTGTTTAATCTACGCATTAACTTGTTCATTCACTTTTCTCTTTATTATGTATGTTCTGTTCTAATTTGTCAAACTGTTCTTTGGATACCGCATCTAATTCATCTTCAACTTGTTCGACGCCTAATACGTCTGGTATATAAAACTGAAGCATATTCTGTACACCATTTTTCAAAGTAACTACGGAACTAGGACAACTTGAGCAAGATCCTTGTAGTTTTAATCGCACTATACCATCTTTAAAATCCTGAAAAAAATGATACAGTTTTGGAATTCATAGAAAAAAATATAAGTACGGAAACACCTACCATCAGGAAAAATGAATTCCTTACGATAAGTTAAGTGACCAACGCGTTCAACTACTTTGTTGTCTATGGTCAGTCTAGGAGCTGATCCGGACCAGCCCTAAAGTCGTATTTTGTATTTATAAGGAGAGAAACGAACTACAAACTTGCTCGTATTGTTTTTAAAAGTGTTCATAAGACTGTAATTTGGTAGGGTTTTCACCAAACTGAACCACGTCGTTCGGGCAAGTGGATCCCCTAATGTGACCATTTGAAACCGAATGAGGAGCCCTCTGGAACTTTACATATTTCTCTGATACACCTCATAGTGGCAAGTATTACAAAAAAACCAACCGACCCCCGAACTCGAGTCCCAACTTTAAGTGGGAAAATATGATTTAAGTCTGTGGTCAGTATATGTTTCCGCGTTGTAAAACGTAATGAAGGCTAAAAATTTGCACAACACATCAACAACCACATCTAAGCCTGTTTTTTCAAATTTGCAGTGTTCCTTGCTCCATTTAAACGTTGAATGATTATAAAGGCTAATATTTCAGTCACACTCATCCCTCTGTGGTTATCACTAGAGGAATTTAATAATTCTTATGATTTGGAACGACCAGGGGGTCAAGACCAGTTAGGAGCGATCACGTTCAGATACCAGATTTTAGCTATTATTTTAGCCAACATAAGTGGTATAATTGTAGAACAATACTCAAATAACTCCGGGAAAATACAACTCGAGCATCCTTGGGTTATTAATCAAGATGCTGAAAAGACGTATTATCTTAGGTGTCATACCATACAGGACCACGTCACCTGTATAGTCTTAACTAGTAAGTTAATTTCGTTATATCCTAGTGAAGATAAAATTACGGGTAACTTCTGAGATCTATTAATAGACTAATATTATATATTCCTATTGTATAACTGTTCCGTAACTAAATTAGGTATATCTATATTCCTCTTATTATAAGCTTCATTTTGACCTATAGATTATTACTGTACGATTTACTGTTCTTAAATTATGTTCAGTTTATTGGTTATCGTCTCCCACGTTCACATCCACTTTTTGGCTTGATCTTGTATAGAGGTTATTTCCTAATTTATGGTATGATGCGGTCTGTTTGGCTGGTATATAAACCAAGCATGTTTGAAATAAATGATTCGCATGGCGGGAGCTGTTATTGGTGTTCTGGACTCAACTGGACGGGCTAGGGAAGCAAAGGATCAATAAGGACGCTAGGCTGCTCATACCGGTCGAACGTCATTGGTTTAGTACAGTACAAGAGTTAATAAGTCGTATTTCGATCGGTGAATAAATCACGTGATAACTAGCCGACCTTAAAGTTACAACAAATGTACTGGGAGAAGATGAGAATAAGAAAGCATTTTGAACCTATTAAGTCAGTAAGTGGTGTAGCGAACTTGGTGTTGTATAGAATTATGTTCAGTGTCATAAGTATATCATTAAAAATTTACAGCCAGTCTAAATAAGTGGGCCGACTTCATAGGCTTTTTTCACAGTTATTCAAAAAATGAAATAACTTGAAATAAGGTAACAGTAATGTGATTACAAATCACACTAAATGGAATATTATTCATGTCATATATGCCAACAAATACTAAGCTATGAGTTGTCTAAACAAAAGACAAAGAATACCACACTACATGAACAGCTAAAATATGAGATTACCTTGAAAATAATATCACCGCCGTCTTCTTGAACAGTGGGTCTTATTCGGGTATCCAGTAGTTCTTTTATCATTAATACTGTTTCATCTTCTTCATCACAGGTTTTATCTAAAATTGTGAAGCTAAATTTCTACATAACTACAAAACATGAGTAAAGTTATAGGGAGCTGAAATTCGAGTTTTTTTACGGAAACTATTTAAAATAACCGTCCTTCGGTCATAAGTACTAAGATATTAGTAACACATAATTTCCTAAGGCTGAGAGATAAGTAACATTTGTCAACGTCAATGACTCTATAGTTTATAAGTTTTTGGAGAGTACCATTTTAGCATTCGGAAGTATGTACAAAGAGAATAGTTGAAAGTTTACACATATTAACTTCTGCTGAAAACGATATGATAATAGATCCTAAAGATTACCAGTTATTTGATAGCAACGAACCTGACTAGTTTACAAAGTTCAAATAGGAAGGATTTGTAATATTAACTGAACTCATCTTTGAAAAATTCTTCAGAATACATAGTATATAAACAGTAATTAACCTCCAAAAGTTATGCCACCGATTGAGAGTACATGGACGACTGAATAAAAGCTTTTCTCCAATTAACAGAAACAGCTGGTGTAAAACTGAGATGTCATTTGACAGGTATATAAGAATAAGTTAGTGTAACATCACCTCCAAAATTGCAGGTTTCAAGAACATTTAGTAGCTGTATGGAACTCGTCAATGTAAAGAAGTAAAGCAGCAAGATCAGAGTTTCGTCGGACTTTTTTTTACTTAAATCGTTGTCACAAATCAGGATTTCGAATAAGGAATTAATTCTATCTATATTTGTTGGTAGTGACAAGATAATTCGACTGTCTCCAGGAAACGCTTTGCGTAATTGGCTGGTTATAAAAAAAGGAACATCAAAAGCTCCTTCGTTCGAAATTAGATGGTCACGAAAGGGTTAAATAAATATTGTCATCTAATCTGACGACAGGAAACAGTGTTCACATGTCAGTTACTACAATTCCATGTCAACTTTTTTAAACACTTACGTATGTGGATATGTTTATCTTTGGGGTTTCACGGACGGTTCCTCTATCATGAGGTCCTTACGTTGACGAAAATTATACAGATGAAACACTTCAATTACATGAAGACTATGAAAAAAACAATTAAATATTTAGTTATATTAAGATTTTTTGTAAATTACAAGAAAAACACTTCTGAACTGCTTGACATCAAAATTAAGTATTAGCAGTAGGTAAAATGGTGACTATAGGAGTAATAGATGAAGTGTGATTTGAAAACGCCTTTTATTTCAGTTTTGGACGAACACACAGAAGCAACCATAGGATGATAGTAAGAGTAATTATTAATGAACATTGAGAATTGTTAAAATAAGTGATGTCGTTAACCGTAAACCAGTTGAGTGCATACTGACGAGCAAGAGCCACATGGAACTCCGAACCCCTGATAATTAACATGTTAGAACGTTGAAAGTACGACAAACTAAAAGGTAATACTTAACGTTTGAAATATTTTAAAATTTGAACATCAACAAAAATGACAATCAAATTACTGTATATCGCAGTATCTTACTTAAGTCTTGTGCTTTTTCTTCACTGACAACAGGTTGTCCAGAACTGTAGAAATCCATTATAGTCGCATATACATCAGGTTTTATTACAGCCCATTCGAAGTCGTCATTCTACCACTTGTCATATCGGAAAAATCATAAACCGACCTTAGTAATCGTGATGAAATCAGGACCAAAGAAGACTCGTTCAACCCCTTCGATTCGAAACAACTGTCTAAATTTTTCAATAATTTAAAATAATTTGCACCTAGCCAACGGGGAAGACGTGGATTGCGTGCAAGATGGAAAGTCTCTAGTACCAGAACCTAGTACAGGTTTACCAGGAAAATATTTTAAGCTGTTAGGATTGGGAGTTTCTTGGACTTGAATAAATAATTTTCTAATCCCTGATAAAAAATTACAAGGTTGAATCGAGAGACCTACTTGGTTGGAATGATATCGACTGAGTGTTGATTAACCGACGAAAACTGTTGAGTACAAGCATATTTTTTCTAAAGCTTTAGTTGTTAACAGCAGTCAGTGTAGTAAACATCGACGGTGAAAACAATCGGATGAGCAATAAAACATGTAGACGATAAAATAACTCCCTCAAAACATTTTGTATCAATTTACTGAAATATGTAACTAAATAGAAGTAACTTATGAAACGTCTTCCTAAAATGAAAGTCTTCTGCTATTAAAACAACTTCAGATTTAATCCTCAGTCACTTTAGTAGGTATTGCAAATCTGACTATTCAGTTCAAGCAAACTGGAAACGTATATTTATACACATGTCCACAGGTGATAACTTATGATTATAAAAAATGTAGACCGAGATCAATAGCCGATATGTATACAAAAGAGGTATGCAAACTTCATTCTATTTAAGCACACGACATATTAGACGATTATAAGTGTGTGCAAGTCAAAACAATTCCACCTGCGCATGTCAGCGATTTCAGCCCGTCTCAACCGTCAGCTCGCTGACTACGTTTGGGGTCAAGTAGTTAGCATTCTTGAAAAGGATATCTCACAAAGCGTATGTTTTGAGAGCTACCACGCTGTGTAGGTCGAGTAGTTACATGATTTGTCAAGGAAACTATAAAGGTCGACTTAGCTAAAAATCAGACTTGTCACACTTGACGGAAGGGTGAAAACGATAGTGGAAAGATAGTGAAATAAACAAGAAAGTAATTCAATAGAGGAGAAGTTAAACTCGCTTATCTATCTAATAAGTAAGATCCTACTTTTCTTATTTAACGTCAATATACCAGCACTCTTTGGCACATATGAATTCTGTTTCCCTAAAGAAAGAAAATGATATATGTTTATCGACCAAGGTATTTAACACCATAAATAAAATAGGTTATTTGATTTGTCCTTTTAACATTATGGACTACATGCACAAAACCGATTATTTAGAGTTATATTTTTGCACTCCCTTTTCAACGAAACGATTTAATCAACCCAGCTTAACAAAGGCGAATAATAAATTGGCAAAAAAGTTTTCAGGCCTTAAGTATAGGACAATCAACTCGTTTTAAGAGGTTAAAATACTTTAGTTCAGTTTACTAAGGAGCTCTAGTTAGCAAAAGAATCAATGGGAATTAGTAAGTAAATCATATCTGAACATATTTAGCGAAATAAAACGAACATAACTGTGTACTTGAAAATAGTTACATTGGTTAAATATTTTTGGATTCATTGATACCAATTGCGCACTGTAAGGACTTATTATCCAGTCAAACTGTGAAACCAGTTTGTTGAGAGCTCAAACGTAAACACCAACATTTTAATTACAAAAGTCTCTCAGAAAACTACATCCTTCAGTGAATAGTAATCAAATCGGGACAGTAATACCAAAGAAATCCAGCAGTTAGTACGCCTATTACTTCGAAAAAAGATACTACAGGCCAGTTTAAATCACTTGTTGGCAATAATACCGGTGTACCGGCAACTCGGGAAATGTTAGCTATCTCCAAACTACAGTATCTTCGGTTCATGATTCTTTGCTACCAAGAAACCTCATAGTAGTAGGTTAACCAAAACGCAGTATTTACTCTGTCTGCTACTGCCTTGTTTCTGGCCTTTGGTTGTTTGAAATTATTGAAGCTTTAAGTAAGATTGTCATGTAGGTACTAAGACGGTCAGTATAAACACGAAAAGAGCTTTCCAGTAAACAAATTAATGTGCCGGAATGTAACATTTTCATTTATTTATTTGAACACAAAAAGTATTTGTACAAAGAGGCACCGAATTCATATGCGCCACACAAGTCACTTGATTTGTGAGTGGACTGTGATACTGCCCGAGTGCCCAAACCGAAGCAGGTGGTTTTCTTAGAGGGACAAAACCGGAACCTCCGACCTCAAGATCTAGTCCACAAGGAAGTGGAGCAACGTAAGCAGATGCAATCCCATGGTAGACGGTGACCAACAATAGGTTCATGTGCCATTTGTTCCTTCAGGAACCTGCAGCCAATGTGCACAATTGGTTTGGACTCAATGTTTTCCAACTCCTCTGGGTGGGCTCTCCGTGTCCACCAACCCGGTTAAGGCGCCGGATATTCGCTTTTCGTCCTCTCAATTTAGTAAACAACACTCCCGCCGCGAGAAGAAAGTTGGTAGGACTTCCCTAGCAGTGGCTGTATAGGCGTGACCATGTGGGCATTTCAAGGAGAGCTAACTCTCCCCACTCTCGGCCGTACAAAGGAATTTGAGAGGGTGAAGCCCCTAACATTGCTACTTTTAACTTACAACGGTGACATATAGAGCCGGAAAGCTAAGGTAGATAAATCTCCTGAAAGTGAGAAATCCTACGAACAGGGTTCAATATAATTTAATAGGTATTTATGAAAGCATAAACACTGAAACATAGCGAAATGAACTGTGAAAAGGCAGCTGTTACGTAAATAGGCACGTTACACTAGTTAAAGAATGGTTTGACTAGCTAATTAACAATGACTTCAGGAATATTGACATAATACAAAAATGCACTGAAGTTTTGAGTAGTTTGCGATAAGACGTGTGCATAATTAGTGTTTAGACGGCGTTCGACTTTATCTGAAGCATGGCAAAAGCCATTATTTAACGTTAATTCAACTGCAAAATCAATGTGGAATAAGAGATATATCTTGCATTATTACTAAGTACCCAATCTCCGGAGATTGGGGCCCTATTTCGGGGTTTACCCAAAGTCAAATGGTCTTTCCCAGAGTTTGGGGAAATCCGTATACCTGAGGAAATTTTGGGGTTTTTGTACCATTTCCCCAAAAATTTATATAGCGGCTTCCCAAAAATTTCCCCAAAACGGATAAAATTTTCCGCAAAATTAGGAGATAGGATAACACTACATTTAGTCAGTCTTCAGTAATAAAGATAGTAGGTTAGTGAACCTGTATTAATCCTGACACATTGCTTTCCAGTGAAGGTCCAGCTTTTCCTTGAAAGTATTCACTGATGGGGCTGATACCACTTGTTCAGGTAAGGCGTTCCAACGATTGACTACTCGATGAGAAAAACGGGACCCCACTTTAAGTTTATTAGATCGTGGTCTATGAACCTTCTTGCTATGACCTCGGAGATTATTAGTGCTGGAGGGAGCAAAAGGATAAGATATATTAACACCCAAATCATAATTAAAGATACGAAATGCCAGTTTAAGGTCACCTCGTGTCCTACGATACGACAGGGGGAAAAGATTTAGGCGTTTTAAACGCTCATCGTAAGGGAGTCTAGAAAGACCCTTCACTAATTTCGTTCTTACACGCTGGACACGCTCAAGGGAGTTAGTATCCTTTACCAGACACGGGCTAGCTGCTTGGATACAGTAGTTAGCCCGTTGTTTGAATTATCCAACCATACTAGTGATCAGTTTAGCTTTCAAGAAGTAACTACGTAAAAATGCTCCCACACGTCATCACTTTTGACTAACTTCTCTTACTACATAGGTACCTAAATTTGTATGCATCGAGTAACCTGGGAATATCATCCCCAGTGAATTTGAAAGTCCGCCAACGTTTCAACCCAACTTTGAGGAACGTGATGGTCTATTAATCTTGAGTTTTCCAAATGTGAAGGACGACCGAAACTATACTAGAAGACTTAGTTGCACAAACCAAAAAAACTCAGAGCAACGCACCCTGTAAACTAGGCGCCACTATCTCAGAATTTCAATCGATAAATATTGAATCCCAAATGTGATTATTATATTTTATTTATCTCAGTTGTCGTTCCCATACTTGCTGTCAATTGAATTTATGAATGGATGATGGTGTATTCCATGCATTAACTAATTCTCTGACTCGCTTTTTTTCTTTCACAATAACTGTTTTAACATTTCTCCATACGATTTCAGAGTGCAGCATCCATTCTGAGTAGACTCCGGACGTTCATTATTTGCCTCTCCGACAGAGTTGTATGACATACAGTTGGTTTATTTGCTTCCAACTTATTGACAATATTGCGCTGAATTTCGCGCCAGTCCTATCGCATTATGTCTGGAATAAACGTTACTTCAGGTGTGACTTCTTTTTCCCAAGTTTCAATAATTCATTCGACTGAAGTATATGATCTGTCATAACTATAAATCTCTAATATGTTTAAGTTGTATTGGTTGTTTATTAAGGGTTTCAAAGGGAGTTGAGTACTTTGCAATTCTTTGGATGCGTTATAAGAGGTTAACATCCATATTGTTTGGAGTTGCTGTGAGAGTTTGTTGTAACTATACTTAACTATGAGGGGTGTAACACTCTTTAGTGATGGTACTTTATAGTGAGATCAGTCCACTAACTCAGCTGTAAATGTGGTTTGTTAGACAATGCTTATACGAGAGCAGGAGCGAGCGCGAATACATCATTAAATTTTTACAAATACGTCATTAGGTTATTACATATATTGAGTCCATTCAGTGGACAGACTATTTTCTATTGCTAGAGGTAACTTAAGAGGTTTTTAGACTTGTAGTTCTTAACCATATGGTCTCTGAAGCTGGATATATGACAACTGAGAAAGTTGCCTTTCAAACTGTAACACTTTTTCTAAGTCGAATATGGTGAATGTTGGAACGATCAACCGAAATTACATACTGTAGCGGTAAATAAATCCCCAAAATAAATAGCACTGTAAGTTTTCGACATTGGATGCTGACCATTTGTTTTAGTGGACTCATCTAGCTGAAGGCGCTCGGTCAGGCATCCGCACCAGATCACGTGTGGTAACGCCGTGCTCAACATCAACCGCAATCGCTAGCCAGATTAGATCAGAGAATTCCGATATATTGGTCATCGCCAAATATACTCTTCCGATCTCCTCGACTCTGTCTTTTGATTTCTCTGGGTGGGAACGAAATATATTAGAAGGTGTTACTGGTAGAAGCGTCGTCAAACACTGAATACCTGTGACATCATCAATACCACAACCATGCTGGCGTGGTCACTCGGTGTAACCTCTAGCTTTTTGTTCCAAATATATCATACTCTTCCTAGCTCAAATGTGTTCTTCGTATGGGTGATTGGCACGTAGGGAAAGTCAGTGTAGACTATGATGTGGCTTCCACTTGAGATCTTCTAGATTAGGTAGTCGTATCATGACAAAACTACAATTTCGGGATTAGGTCTCACTCTACAGACTCCATTGTGATTCTTTAACTCAAATAAGTTTAATTATTGGCTTTCCTGCGTAACACTACGCACTGCTTTTAAATCAAAAAAGATTTGTATCAAAATCGATCCAATGTGTATAGTACGATAATTAGTACTAGTAAAATTGTTTTGGTGATCAAGAATTACCAACTTAAATTTTATATGACCAGATGAATACAAGTGGAAGTGTGATATATTGAATTCGTAATAGACGTGCAAATAAGATCGTTGGGATTGCCAGTTCATACAAATAACACAACCATCTCAGCTCTGATGTAATTCCAGATTTCTGTTGTCCATTCTACATCTCTTTAGACCCATTAGGTGTCTGTTTTGTTGACTATTATATAAAGACTGATGATCTAGAATGTATTCATTAGTGTCAAAATAAATACGCAAAATTGGAACAGACCCACATGGCTCCTGAAATTGTATTTGATCAACATGTCAGTTGTTCGTAATTGTAGAGGTTAATTCCTTTATAGCTGATTCAAATAAATAAAAACACCGTCGTGACGCAAATAAGATTGGAGATGTCACAGGTATTTGGTGTTTGACAACGCTTTAATCAGTAACATATTCTACTATGAATCGTACACACCAAGTGAAATCAAAAGACAGAAGCGAGGAGGTTCGAAGATATATTTGATAGACTATCAATATATCGAGAATCGTCTGATCTAATCTGGCTAGCGATTGCAGTAGATGTTGAGCACGGCGTTCCCACTCGTGATCTGGTGCGGATGCATGACCGAGTGCCTTCAACTAGGTTGGTCCATTAAAACTAATGTGGTCACCATCCAATGTCGGAAACTTACAGAGCTATTTATTTTGGGGACTTATTTACCGTTACAAGATGGTAGTCAAATTGACGTGATAACTAAGGATTACTAGAACAGTCCAACTTAGGTTGAACAGAGACAGATGAATGCAAGTGAACGCATGATATTACGAACGATAGCTACAAAAATGAGTGCGCTATACATGAACGGATAATTTGGTTATTATGTTTCATGGAGAGCCGATATGTGCGGTGTCTAACAAAATGTACGTGTGTGGGTGAAATGAGGTCAATGTAATATTCGTCAAAAAAGAAAGCAAGGAATTTCAAACATGATCTGTGTTACGGATTGTAAACCTCATACTAACACCTTCAATTTTGATTGTTGAATAGCATTTGTCCCACGCTATTACTAATTATTTTCAGTTGCATTATTGTCGATTACATTATAATGACAAGGACGTTTCGCAAACTTTTCTAGGGTTTCGTACAATAAGCAAAAGTATTTCTAGAAGGCACTTTTTGGTAGACTAAAAAAATAACGTTTTTTTTTGGTAATTTAACCGAGCATACTAGTCTAAGACCCTGTAGGTGCTCTAAAGCACTTAAATTACAGAACAAACACTGTAAGATTTAACTCTAGAATTACGAATTTCCACTTTATTCAGTTCTTAGCAATGGAAATAAGTGGATGTCTAAAAGTCCTTATCGGTGACGACCACTAAATTGATGACAAATGAGAGTATTTTAAAAATTGGAAGAATCTGTTAGATGATAAGTTGTGTTTAAATCTACCGTGGATGTGCGAATAGAAGTAACTTCATCGCGAGACGAATATTGGGAAAGTTGAAATATTCGGTGATATCCTTCGGGTTATTAATAATATCATTTATGTATTTATTGTATTATTAGCAGACGATTTTATTGTCAATTTCTAATTTCTAATTATTGTGAGCTTTCAATGTACATTTGAATGTTGTTATACGCTTTACAATCCCTCAATTATCGCTAACTAAGTATGTTCTGTCACCTTCGACCTATACAATTTATATTATAATTGTAATTGAAGTGCTGCTGGACCAGATGTTTACAGTATATTCTCGAAGGGGTTTTTAGTCATAATCAAATTGGGGTATTAAAAGACTTGTCTGTCATCTACTATCATTTTCTGATTGACTACTAGGTTAGAAAAGGCCTTGAGGACCAATAGGCGTTAAGACCTTGGTGCTGTCTCATTGATATTTGTACAAATTGGCAAAACAGGTCACCGGTCCGACTGGCAGTATAGCATGAGATAAAGATCGAAAATTTCAAGTCATTTCAAGTCCGCAGTGTTCTCGAAATGTGACAGGAAAAACACCTCCTGAGGAAACTCCCGTCTTTAAAAAAACTGTCTGCTCTTTCATATGGTGATTTAAAACCAGTTGTTGTATATTGTTTTCATCTAGCCTGCTCCAGTATGTATAGAACTTCATAAAAAGTTGATTCATAATTTGAGCGATCACGAGATGTCATACACATCCAATGCCAGGAAAGTCCTACCAACTTTCTTCTCGCGGCGGGAGTGTTGTTTACTAAATTGAGAGGACGAAAAGCGAATATCCGGCGCCTTAACCGGGTTGGTGGACACGGAGAGCCCACCCAGAGGAGTTGGAAAACATTGAGTCCAAACCAATTGTGCACATTGGCTGCAGGTTCCTGAAGGAACAAATGGCACATGAACCTATTGTTGGTCACCGTCTACCATGGGATTGCATCTGCTTACGTTGCTCCACTTCCTTGTGGACTAGATCTTGAGGTCGGAGGTTCCGGTTTTGTCCCTCTAAGAAAACCACCTGCTTCGGTTTGGGCACTCGGGCAGTATCACAGTCCACTCACAAATCAAGTGACTTGTGTGGCGCATATGAATTCGGTGCCTCTTTGTACAAATACTTTTTGTGTTCAAATAAATCATTATAAATAATTGTCCTTCAACCAAGTTGCTGTGAAGTTTTGTCAGCTACATAGTTAGAGTTGTTTATGATTAACGTAAAAACATCAAAAATAGATAAAGAGCGCATCTCGATGGAATCGTGCTTTGTGTAAACTGTTAAGATTATTTTGATTGTTAGATTTGAGTTTTTAGCTTCTTAGCCGCAACATTTCAAGCACATTCACTGAACAGTATTTCACCACAGATAAAAGGCTTGATCCATCTAATTTCGCCAAAGATTTATCCCTAAATTTATGCAATAGTTTTACTACACTACAACACGGTAAATGCTAGCTGAGAACTGACTTCTTAGGAATCCGGAACGAGTTCAGTTAAACGAGTAACTAAAATCTTATATGCCTCTTTATTTTTTTGTATATAGTAATTGAAAACTTAAGAATTAAATCCTTCGAAATTCTATATAAACTTACAGCAACTTATTATAATACCAACCATACACAAGAAAGTTATCGAAGTAGCAATAAACAAAAAGACCAAATCTGAAGTTTTCAAAGTATTTGGACTTTTGAATTCAATACCAATATACATAGTAATTGTCTGAATATTAGCGGTTGTGTAATAATTATAGAATATCCACCATCATTTGTCAGAATCTTTATAGTTCGATTGCTTCCAATAGTAATTAATTTCTGAATGTTTACTTCAAAAAAACGGATCTGAATCTGAATTACCAGACTATTTTTTCCCAAAAATAATTTCATAGAACTTGTTATACATTGTTTGACTAACAAAAAATATGCAAAACTAACTGTTTGCATATAATTGCAACCCAAGAAAGATGACTACGAATTAAATATACTTATGATAAATTAAGGAAGCAGTTTAGAATCTAAACGACTGTATGGAAATTGCATTTGATGGATACTTATATGTATAGTTTTAGCTCAACCTTCTTTATGTTAACAAGCTGACTAATAATTTGATTTTAGTGTTTCGAATAATGTTTGATAGGGGGCTTATTATTTAGAATAACCCAAGATTATTCAGGTAATAAGTGTTAATTCATTAATTGGTTTGTCACACATTTAAATACTTGTTATTACTTTAAACAACAGAATTAAACAGCCCCTATTGTCAAATTGATTCAATGAACAGCTTGTTGATACTTTTTAAAAATATTAAAATGTCTGAAATGAATCTACAGTAGAATAGTTAGATTTATCCGAAGTAATAAAGGAAGAAGATTATCTGCTCACAAATTTGGTTAGGTCTTTTGATGCTAATATTTATTCGATAGATCAGCATAAGATAGAAATATTTAAACACATCAGCCTGAAGTTAAATAAAGTTTGAATTTTGATTAAGTTGAACAGAACACACATAGTAAAGCATACGTCAACCAAATTTACAAATCAGAAACCAACTTGTTTGAATTTGTTTATCTGAAGTAAGTAACATTTGCCATTAGATATCTGATCTACACTCTTACTTGTTGATATCTACTAAAATGATCTTGGAGATCAAAATGGATCAGATTTCTTAAAGAATACTGAAAATAACATAAAAAGTTTGGGAATATATAGTAACTAATTGTTTAACAAAAAGTGGTCTTCTTGAAGGAATATAAACATGTATAAGGTGACAGGTTTTCTAAAATAAAAGTAATAATTTAATGACATGAGATTTTGTTTAGCTGAAAATCACCAATGTGGTTTAAACATTGATTTAGAGCATATATTGCACATATAAATTAAAGGAATGAATGATTCTTCAAAGCACTTTTCTTATCCTGTCTGTTTGTACTGATTGTATCTGTTTGGATGATTTCAAGTAGACTTATGGTCTAATTAATTTTCTCCATTCTAAATGATCCTTGGATAAAGATTTATTCTTGAATTACTATCTTTTGTGTTACACTTTTCTGTAGGTCTATAAATTGTACAAGAAGTGTGCGCTTTATTGACGACTGAAGAATTTTCAACGCTGTCATCATCTTCATCGTAGATTATTTGTTTCTCATCCGAGAAACTTATGGTATTGCTTTTTCGCAGTTTTATGGTTTCATTTCGTGATTGTGCTTGGATTGTATTTGATAACTGACTTACATAACCAGTGTGAATGCTACCATCTTGATAAGTTTCAGAATAATCTGTTGAACACTGATATATCGGTGGTAAACTTCCAATTTGAAAACTGTTTGGCCATTGCATGAAAAATACTGAACTCATTAACGGACCTTCAAACAAAATGTAAAGTGGTTTATCAAACGGTCAACTTTAAATAAAATTCAGTGTTCACTAAAATGTGCGATACTGAGTTTGTAATGGCTTTGCTTCGTTAATCGATCACCTCGATAACCGTTATAATATAACTTTCAACGGTGTTTGAAATCAGAAGCGGCAACTACAGTTTATTAGAGGGTAGCGCAGATCACAAAGCCATAAGCACATCAAACGAATTTCAAGCAGAGGAGAATATGTATGTGCAAACAAATACCATAGGCAAATTTATAGTTAAATCTCATAAGGGCACAGTAAGGTAAAAGAAAACCTAATAATAGGATTTGAGTACATATATACCTGGGGAGGAGATTGAATCATCAAGTGATACTTAAGGGATCAACATTTTAGCTAGATTCTGTTATGTGATCTAGTGACAGTACAGTACAAAGAAATATGCGAATTGTTACTGTTCTAATAACATTATCTGTTAATTAAGTTAATAAAAGGGCTTAACCAAAATTAACCACAATTGAAATTGGTTGTAAGATAGTTGTTATAATTTTTTTGTCACTGTACACAAATATGAGCGTAACAATTAAAATACCCATTATGATATTAAGTAAAAAGAGCGGAGAAATCTCTTTCCAACTAGCACTACAACTCCTAAATGATGCTACCGAAGAAACTAACTCAGTGGTTACGAAAGGCGGTGCAGAAAACATTTACTGCAGATAAACTGAATATGGTTTTCTGAACCACACGACAATAAAAACCATCAATAAAGACAGATTGCTTGAATTCTTCACATCCATATACATTTACCGATTCAACTGCTCCATTGGAACCACCTCTAAAGTGTGTACCATTCGGCAGGTACATTATCACATGGCAGAACACCATCCATCTAAGTTGAGCAAAGGACAGATAAATCTGATTAAGAGTTCCATTCTCGCTTACTTGGTAAACACAGGTCACTAAGTTGACTTGAATAAAGATTTTAAGGTTATCCACCATGTTCCATCACGTTTACCACATGGTTTATGAGTTCGTCTGTTGCATATTCCTGAAGCTATCAGAATCGATGTTCACAAATTAACTTTGGGATCCAAAAGAAGTTTCTACAATCGCTCGCGCCACTATGACCATCGGTATCGGAGTTAGTGCTTATCTGGACTTTAACCCTTTCCTTCAAAAGTATTTAAACAATGTTCTAATTTCTTCTATTACTGTATTTCTACATATTTTCAACATTCATCTCTTGATTCTTACATAACTACTATATTACCGACCTTTTATCGAAATATCTTGTTAGCTCTTTTTATGTATTATTCAATGTGACAACTATTTGATTTTCCAGATAATTACTTTGATTGTTACGATCCTCTTTCATCCAGTTATTCAATACTATTTCATAATCAAAGTGACATTATATAATTATTGCGTAACACAACAACTCGACGAGAGTTATTTAATTGTTGTAAATCATACATAAATATTAGCGTAAGGCAGAGATGAAAAAACTAAATGAGAAGGGATTTCTCCGCTCTATTTGTTCTTTTTATAAGCATTTCAGAAGGTTATAGGAAACGCTATTCAACTCAAAACTTTTCATGATATCTTCAATGATGTAGGTGGTTTCAAAGCAAAATAACACAGGTTTTCAAATGTTGTGAAGGTCTATTTTGTTCCAAACTGTAACCGCATGTGACTTGGCATATGCAAAATTTCTTTTCATCAAATATAACACATGTAAACATAAACTAAGCACCCGAACCTTTGAATCACACTAACTGAATCATATATTGGTGTCTAATATCCAAGACATTCAAGTTAATTGTCGAGAAAATATTAAATCACTAGGATTATTATTCACATAAAAAACGAGCGAGAAATTAAGGTCACAAAACTGTCAAAACTGAGAGAAATTACAACTATTGGTTTATTTAGTAGTTCTGTGACATCAATGATTACAGTTTTGTGCTAATCTCGATTTCAACTTCTGATCTACTGGTTTTCCGAAGGCTATACATTATCAATGTAGTTCAGTATCTACAGGAAGAAGCTTCGCTTTAGAGATTTTTGTGAAATGTGATATAGCGTCTACATCGTTACAAAATTCCGGTCGTAATATACTCACTGCTTAATTTAGCAGAAAATCTTCCAAAGGTCCCGGGCTCGAACCCTGAGCGTGGGATCGTGGTTGCGCATTGCTGGTGAGTCCTTTACTAGGATGAAACGATCGTTCAATGCTTTCAGGTTTTCAATGATGGTCTAACACTGATCAATTCATGATCTCAATCAGAAAAGTTTCCATTACCAATCCATTCTTTCATCTTTTTAACTTATGAGCGAATATTGTTCATAAAAGACGATGAAAGATAACCAAGATATCTAAATGCTACTCATATCAATTAGTTATGTTGGACACAGAATCAGGGAGCTCTAGTTAACCAAATATATAAGGTTTTTTATTAAGGATACAACTTTCCAAATGAGATTACATAAATAAATGTCAATTTTCATCGAATAACAAGTATCTATAATATTATATTTCAAAATAACTACTTAATTCTCACAAATCCTGACCATGTTTTTCATGACAGCCAAGTATTACTAATGTCAAATATAGAGATAAATGTACAAGTTTAAATATTCAAATTTATAAAAATATATCATATTACACTTCATATTTAAGGGGTTTCTTTTATGTAGGTGTAAACATAAGTGTAGTGATCTGTATTGTTTTACAAAGAAAACATGTCATTTCAATTAAGGTAAATTCTATCATTTCGTTTGGTTAAGGTTAAATTTTAGAGGGAATATATTTGATTAAAAAGAACTAAAAACGGTTAAAGATTTTGGTTTAATTCACTGAAATCCGATGACAAATGACTACATGGATAAACGTTATTCACGGGTAAATTTCATGATCATTAAATTATTTTCAGACTATGTTGTGAACTCCACAAGTTTTTATATGTCACATATAATGATCAAAATAACATCTGATATTACCAGAACTGTTTGGGTTAATATGCTAAGATTATCAAAAGAGCTAACAAGGGAATTCTCCCATGTTGTTCTTTGTTATGTGTAAAAGATTACAAGCAGTATGGCGGGACATAGTTTATATCGTCAACCCGTGGTGATACATTTACAATACGTGTAATATAGTATATAATGAACTAAAGTGAAATTAAAACAAGGCTATCAGTTGACAATATCAACTTACATTCAGTTTGTTGTGATTCCATTTGATTGTAAGACTCTATTTGTCGATCATTTGTTCCAATAATAATCGGAATGGGTAGTAAAAGATCGTGATGAATACGAGCAAACCGTTTAAACTCCTTCTCTTTACCTCGTTTGCACTGTTGAAATGTAATAATTTGAGGTTTCTTCGACATTAATTCATATGTACCATTGCTACTGCTACCTGTTTCATGCATATAAACAAATTCCATAAATTTATCTGGTTTAACTGAAGCAATATCACTCTCTAAAATCCATTTAGTGACCTTCAATGGATGCTTTAATTTTTTCAGTTTGAAACTAACCAGTCCTAGACTGTATGCAATGTCTATACATGAACAACCTTCTAAACCAGTTGGCGGTAACGAAGGTAAGTGAAATGTATGCTCTAATGCAACTCGTAATAAGTGTTTTTCAGACGTAGGACGCTTTCTCATTTCGCCACTGTAAACATCTCTCTCCTCTTGAGCAATAACACGGTGAGTCCAGTCTCGATAAGTTATTACCTGGGGAAAAAAGGAACTATATTTATATAGTTTGAAATTGTCTGAATTGCATTGCAAACCTGTAAGAAATTTGTTGAGTGGATTCACAAATCACAAATTCAGCAGTAATCTTTCGTTGAAATCGAAATATTGTCGTTCACTATAATGTATATTAATACTGTACATACTTTGCAAAAATTAATGTCCCTAACATGATTTCCAGCTTACTCAATTTGTACTTTAGAAAAAGAATTTGTTTTCAAACATTTTGTATGACTTGAATTGATTAGGTTTGTGTTTATTTTAAGATATTTATTGAAGAAATGTGTCTTCGATCACTTTTAAGCTGAAATCAGTCTAATGAATCAGATGTTTATGAAAGACATCCTATTTCGTTATTATTAAGGGTTAATTGAGTACTAAATTCTAGATGGATTGGTAAAGTGAGAAGTTGTGGCAGATAAAATCTATTTTCACTGGAAATGAATCAAGTTTAACCAGTGACATTAGATGATCACTGTGTTAGTCTAAGAATCAAATGAAATTAAGATTATGAATTACTGGATTCCCAGTGTGATGTGTGCGCTACATATGCGGACATATATAAGTAGTATGTAGCAGGACTTGAAAGTAGAATGCTTACCAGTAGAAGATTGAAACAAAGAGAGAAAAAAAGAAAACAGCGGAAGATCAGAATAACAACGGGATTGAAAGAATGATGAATTTATAAAGGACAACTCGGGGAAGATATGCAAATGATATATTTCATGTATGATTTTCCCGATCAAGTCCTCCTTCACTATATTAGTCAGTGGTCTTTAAGAGTAGTTCTTATCAAGTGAACTAAGTGTTTCAGGCTTTGTACATGATAAGCCGGTGTTTATACATTACTGAAGAAATCAGTACTACGATGAATTAGTTTAACTCTCGTTGGTCTTTAATAATTCCCCAAATATTACCACTCAGTAATGGAATTCGGTTTCAGTAGCCCGTAAGGACCTTATTTTCAAAATATAGTATTAGGGAAAACTAGACTCTAACACAGTATAACTTACAAAACTCACAGTCAGTAACCTAAAGAAGTTTATAATATTTGTATATTTTCCTGGACTAACCAAGACAGAAAGTGGTGTTTATCATTTTATTACTGATATATTCAAACGTTGCATTTTCATACCCATTACATTTGATTATCAGACACATATCACTAGTTATATGCCTCCTCAGCTAATCATAAATTTTGACTTATGTGTAAATTGTAAAAACAGTGATCGATTTCAACATTTTGGATATGTAATCTATATATTAGTGCTTTAAGTACTGCTACTATCATTACATTTGTCATTATGATTAGTTGTGTAAATGTACATAATAACAGAATGTTAGTTATACTAGCATATATAATTTCTGTCTACTGACCAAGTTAATCCAATGTAAATAATAAATAGTCAAATATGAAAGTGTTTCTGATGTATATATTTCATACATTCAATTTCACAGACAAACGAAGTAAAATAAACGTGAAGTAGAGGAGGTGATTGTTCCTGACAGAGTAAAACAAGTGACTATTTCTTGAAATAATGAAGTCACCTAACTTATATTATTCGAAAGTAATGAAGTATCTGCTTTCAATGTAACATATTACGAACTTAATTACTATGTAATAATAAGATATCGAAAGGAATCCACTTAAAATATCAGATTTCTGAATGATCGACTGTCAAATAGACAGTGTATTTTCGAAGATTTGGTACTAGATATTCTTCTATGATATTTTTTAACTATATTCACATCTGGGAAAATTGAGTAATTTACTAAACCAATGCACGGTTTGTAAACGCACCGTCTCAGTGACAGCATGTGTACTGTACTGTACTTGTTCGCTTATGTAATATTTCAATACTGTTATCAGGGATGTAAATATCTTTCTAATAAATACTACTGAGTATAAGCGAAACGAATCTTTGCGTATCTTATTTGTAAAGGTCATGTATCTGATGGCTTGTAAAGTGAATTGTACCGTTATTCTACCTAAGTATGGGTTCACTGTGTTCACTAATCAATAATTTTTTTATCAGAACATTGGACAATCGATTTTAAATAATGATCAATAAGAAGCTGGTTTATTTATATTTTTCTTTAGCAAAAATATTATTTTCAAACTGAAACCATAATAATTACTGATTACATAGGTTACTCAATATTTTACTTAATAAAAAGAAAATAAATTCAGACAAATTATTCACTACAGCTTGAATATTCCGAGTTAATATTATTTATAACTGCTAATAGTATAAACTCAAACTAGATACAGGTCTCATATATAAATGTTACATACCTGGCGTAGTACTAAAAATATTCTATGTCGTTGTTTAACATATCCTGACCACCATATACCATTAAGTTGTTGACTCTCGTTACTAAACTTTTGTCGTATACAATCTTCTAAATAATACGAAACAAATGCTCTTGCCAATGGACTCCATAAGTCTTTTTTGCATGAACTAATATTTGTATTAAATTTTGCACACCAATTCAAATCACTCGACATACCATTGAGTGATGGAGCTATCAGAAGAGCAAACGGATCTTCCACTAGTAAACTTAAACATGCTGTCAATCGACTGCCTGGATTAAGTTGACGTTGACTGACAGTTAATCTGCAAGAAATTGGATATCCTGTTTGAGCACCAAGACATGTACGTGGATATATTGCATAAGATGAACCGTATGATTGAGAAATCCATGTAGAAGGTAATGGATATGGATTATCACTGCATCGTTGTACAGTTAGTGTTGTTTTACTTAATGAATTATATAGTGCCTTTTTCATTTTCGTAGCACGGTTAAAATGGGGTTTACATATTGATTGCATGCTATTGTTATTTCGATCATTTTCACTATTTGGATATTGGTTCTCATCTTCTGTTGATTGCATAGAATTTAAATATGGATTACTTTGATGAGAATCATTTAAACAAGAACTCAACGAATATTTAGTTAATTTAGTCGTATCATCTAGATCAGTGTTAGAGTAAGCACTCTGACCTAACGATGATAAATGATCTGGTATGTAATCATTTGTAAAAGTGGAATCGAACACTGAATTTTTCTCAATTAATTTTTCACTACTGTTATCATACTCATCTAGAATATTTTCCGTTTCATTTTTACATAAATTTGATAATCGTGAACATGTTCTTGATAAGTTTATAAATTTCACTGTGTTGCTACTAGATGATATGAATTGATCAAAACTGCTCACATAATTTCTGGTAATTGGAGGACAAGCCAATGTACTTGGAATCACCTGTAAATTGTAGACAAAAAACAAGATTAAAAAGACTATTCTTTTATGGCATTAAATTGATTAACTTCTCTGAATAAAGGTGAACTATACAATGAAGTTTGCGACTCAATTTCGTGGATTGGTTGGAGTTAGACATTAACACTATTGGATGCTGGCTCAGAGGTCTAGTGGTTAAGCGCTCGCTAACGAGACTGATAGGTCCTAGGTTCGAATTTCGCGAGGCGGGATCGTGGATATGCACAGCCTAGGAGTCCCACAGTAGGAAGAAACGGCCGTCCAGTGCTTCCAGGTTTTTCATGATGGTCTAGCTTCAATTGACTCATGATCTCAACTATCCACAAAACCCCTTCTGATATTAATAAATAATTTATAACATTCGAGCTGTGGTTATGGTTTATGGTTAAGAATCGAGAATCGGATGTAGAGTTAGAGTACTGATATACTGCCCCCAAATGCCCTGGTATGGCCGAGAGTGGGGTGGGCCCTCCCTCCCTCTCGAAATGCTCCCACACGGTCACGCGTATACAGCTTCTGCCAGGGAAGTCCTACTCACTGCCTTCTCGTGGCGGGGGTGTTGTTTACGAAATTGAGAGGACGAAAAGCCAATGTCCGGCGCTTTAACCGGATCCCGAACCAATGGTGCACATGAGCTCCGGTATCCTGCGGGAACAAATGGCATATGAACCAATCGTTGGTCATCGGCTACCATAGGACTGCATCTCCTCACGATGCTCCACTACCTTGTGGGTCAGACCTCTAGGTCAAAGGCTCGGGGTGTGGCCCCCTAAGAAAACCACCTGCTTCGGTTTGGACACCCGTGCAGTATCCCAGCCCTCACACAAATCGAATGGTTTTTGTGGCGCATATCTACTTGGTGCCTCCTTGTACCAATGTTTATGTGTTTAAATAAATAAAACTGATATACTAATCGTAAAGCCTAACGTCAACCATAATTCATAACCTTAAATTTTAAAACATAACTGCAAATCTTCCTATAAATCTTGGTCTCAACCCTAATAATAATTTGTTATTAAAATATACCACTGTGATCTCTGAAAATATAAAGATATTTTTATTGGTGAAATTATTCATCATACAATCAACAGTTGACAATTCACCAGTAATAACATCTATTTCGTGATCGGTAGATGACATGTTGTCTTGATATATACACCCTGAACTTGTAATGATTCACTCATTTATATTTGGCTTGACAGCATAATTCAGGTTTACTGATTCTGTACTTTTCTGAAGTTTGTTTATTTTAAAAAAAATAATATGAATGTTCGCGGCGTAGAATGTTCATTTTTCTTTTTGATTAAAACTATAACTTTTAATTAGAAATAAATATTAACTATATCCTTCGTGAGATTTAAAACACTAGTTTACGACAACTGTTTACAGAGTTGAATCCACCAGTCGATCTAAGCCAGAACATCATTAAAAACCTGGAAGCACTGTACGGCCGTTTCATCCTAGTATGGGACTCCTGAACAGTGCGCATACATGATCCCGTACGCATGGATCCAACTGTGAAAGTACTCCAATCTCCACAAATTCTCATATTGATAACAATTGTTTAATTGATTGACGTGGTTATTTCACAATGTTCATATCAAAAATGAACATTTCTAGAATTAGAAAAGATTCATGTAATGATGAACTGACACAAAAAATTTTATTGATCAAGTATACGAACAAAGAAAGAGTTTTTCCAAGTACAAATCCTTTATATAGCGGAAAATGGATTGGAAAAAAAAACACCCAGTTAACTCAAATTAATTTCATTCAAGTAGTTAAAAGGAAAATGTTTCAATAATTCAGTATCATACCATCATTTTGTTAATGATCGTTTTACGTAAAACTTTTAGTCCTTTATCCGCACATAATTGTTCCCCATTCGATAGTAATAGATAAACTCTTAGCCTGTATTCAATACTACCTCTTGAACCAACAAATGAACATGGACAAACTTCAGGTAATTCAAATTCAAAAGGAAAGTATCGTTTACCAGCTAAAATAAGTTCACAACTTCCAGGGATACCTGTAATAAATTCAAGGAAGATACAAAGAGAAAAATTTATTTTATTAGAAATTTTGGTTAATACCAGGGAAACAGATGTTTTCATATGCATACAGCTTACTCACTAACCCGAAAGCTCAGTAGTAGTATCTATTAAAGTTGAATGCGAATGAATAAAGGTATGATAATTTAAGAAAGCATGGGGATTTATTTAGATTGTAATATTTTAACAACTGAATTCACGAGTTATTCTAAGCTAGACCACCGCCGAAAACGTGGACGCACTGGACGGCCGTTTTGTTCTAGTATGGGAATCCTGAACAGTGTGCATCCGCGATCCCACATATGGGACCCGAACCCAAGGCCTTCTGTCTCGCGTGCAGGATCGTAGATGTGCACTGTTGACGAGTCCCATACTAGGACGAATCGGCCGTTCAATACTTCCAGGTTTTCAATGGTAGTCAAGCTTAGATCGACTCATGAATTCATCTGTTTGAATTTAAGAAAGCATGATCATTTTCAGTGTCATAGGTTCCTTCAATGATATATCTCAAGAAGAGCATAAACCAATGACAGAAATGTCTGTTGTTTATCTACATCCATCAATTACAATAAAAAACTCTTTGAAAACGGCAGATTCGAATAATCTAAAGTGAGAAAATACACAGTTCCACTGTTATACGATTTAAGTCACATAAATGAATAAGCTTCCTGCATCTGTACCACAAAGTATTTGATCATTCAGTAGTTTCCCATAAGAATGGTAAGCATAATTCTTAATGTGGAATGAAGCAGTACCAGATACTAGCAGCGGTCGCACATTTTCAAACTGGGCCTCTGTTAACCTGCGCACCCACGAATTACCTTGGTATCTCAGGGAATTGCACTCGTGATTGTGATGCACATTCCCACGTACAACAGTCCAGTAGCCGTCGATAATCTTACAATACATGAAGGCCGGACATTGAGTGTTCATGGAAGCCCTTCATGACAAAAAATGTTAAAAACATTTATAAAACTACCTCCTCCGTCTGATCCGCTGTGACGAACCGCTAGATGTTATACGGCCATGTCTCCAGCACACAAATTTAATGTACGAGTTTTCATTTCTGCACAAATGCGAACCTCGAACTATATAATGACAGTAAGTTGATCTTTCATAATTTGTGATAGCGGACTTCAACGCTTCAATCGATGGGAACGCAACGAGAAACAAGGTTGTCAAAAAGACTTCCTCTATTTCTGTTACGTGAGAAACAACAGCGCTTGTACTAGGCACGTTACTGTCCTCCATAATGATGATTAAAATGTACTTCGTCGACAAGTACTGATGTTTTATAGCAATCCGACAAAACATAACTAACAAATTAAAAACGAACTTCAAAACTAGCCATTTCATTGGACGAAACGGGATGAAAAATATTGCAATTTTGGGTTGAAAAACATTTTTAAAAAGGGTGGTTGGGGTTTTTTTTTAAAAAAATTGCCGTGGGGCTAATGAATTTCGCGATCGTTGATCACTTAGTAGTAATTAGTGTCTAGTTATCAACATTTATCAAATGCTGAAGATTAGGTTACTGCTTAACAGTCCAGTAATAACTTTGTTTAAGTGGAAATTCCCTATTGATTGATTGGATTTCCATCGTTTTATTAAGATACATGTGAACCATTAAGGTTTATCCTGACTACATAATTGGTAGATACAGCTAAATAAACTTACAGTCTTAATAATCCAGGAATATACCAAATAATGATCACATTGTGATTTAGTCAAACTCATTTTAACAATCGTTAGAAGCATCTATGGCATTGGTAGGCGGTTATTTGTTCAAATTATGTGTCTGTTGTATGAATAACTTAATTTGATTTACATTAACTGAGTACCCTCCCAATACAATGTAAAACGAATTTTTTGTGTGAATATTAAATCTAGTAGTAGTAATATTTTACGATGAATGATTCGATAATAAACATCAGTGAGAGGTCAAAATAATCATCTAATCTAAAATTGTTTAGTTAAATATAGGGAAACACTTTCAAGTTAAATTACCAAATACTCAGAATCTCCATTAACTGTGACTTATTTTTTGTACGAAAGTATACTTGTACACTATTTCAGTAGTGTTTTTTAGAACTAACTATAACACTACACCACTTTTATCGTTTTACCTTGGAAAAACAATCAGGAAATAATCAGCAGATCATTTATACTTTTGAGACTTTAAGAAAAGATCAACTAGGCTTTGAAGATGATTTCAAAAGTTACAGGGAAAAGCTGATACAGAATATCTCACTAAAATCCGAGAACCATACAGTATATAGTTAACTTGCAAAAATATCAATCAATTGTCTCAAACTTGACTGTTCCTTTTGCAAATCTCAGTCCATCGTCTCAGATTTGCTTGTGTATTTTCATACCAATTTCTTTCCGTTCCCGTTGTTTCCTTCTCGATCTTCTACCAAAATACATTCTATTCCTGACTATCGTCATATACTACTTATGTGTATATAAGTAGCGCACACCACAATACAATACAAATGTCAGTAACAGAATCATGATGATATTGAAAAGAACAACAGTAAAAGCTTCTAAATTATACCATCTAGCTCAAGGACCTGAAAAATACTTAAAGTATTCACCGAAACTGTAAATCTCCACCGTTTCGAAATTTCAATATTGTCATTGCCAAAGTTGTTACTTAACACTCAAAGATATACAGCATTTGAAAAAGTGTAATTAATAACTGTACTTTATTTACGAGGAAAATTAGTATTTATTTTTAAAATAACTGAAATCGTTCTAGCTAAGTTATCACTAAGCTTAAGGAAACTAATTCCGAACCATTGCTCACGGCTGCTAGCTCATTTATAATTAGACTTTAAAGTTGAAATCTAAGTTTTCACATCTCTTACTTCAGTCAGTGGACGATTTTGGTCAATATCTGTCCTACGTAGCTAAGCTGCACTAGTCATAGCTTCTCACTTGAGCTTCGGTTAATTCGTTTTGTAATATATATTCATACTGAATAAATCACATAAAAACTCTATCTCTAAGAATATTTAGTTATGAACATATTTGCTTGTCAAGGTATATATGGTAGGATATTTTAGAACTTTATATAATCACAAATTTCTCAGAAAACCTTTTTACAAATAAGCAACTTATGGAGAAATCAGATGACCTGATGATACTATCTTCTCAAGGAAACTTCGACCATTTATGAGTAACATATCAGGGGAAATTTACATAAACCAGATATGATTACTTTACAAACTGAAAATATGTTACTGAGATACTTTGCTCACTAAATACTCAGGAATCTCATTAATATAGTTTTTGTAGAGATCGTCGTTGAGAAACTAGTAATCCATCTTAAAGGAACTTAAAATTACTCTAAAGGTTCTATTTAAAGAAATGGGATGTTAGCTATGAGCACCTTCTTGAATGAATTATTTACAATAATATAAAGATACAAGAGCGTGATCACGTTGCTGAAGATAAATTTCTTGTATACTGGAAATGAAAGAGTGACATTTTGTATGAGGTTATTGTAAGCTATACAAAATGACTTCTATATTTTAGAAAAACTTCCCTGCATTTTCACTAATAAGTTATTCTAATAATCTATCATCAATGAACCACTACAAACAAAATACATCAGATTCTTCATGCAAACTTATCAATTCTCTATTATAGGGGCGTTTCACTACACAATATTTTATGAGGCATTTAAATATAAAAAAGATAATGAGGAGGATAGCAGATTTTTAATTGATGTAGAAGTAAAATTGAAGAATTTTGCAGACGAGAGAATTAAGAAATGGTATCAGTTCATGGAGTCATTGACTACTGATCGGGATGATGATGACACATTACCTGGTTGAGGTAAGGAAATTAACTGTAATCTGTAGCTAAAGAATTAGCGTGATATGGCTTGTATCAGTCATAAAGGTCAAGATCCATTCACTCTTCCACCTTGAATCACAGTATTCTTTTAGGTAAACTTTACATTTCGATTTTTACCAATGATGTACCCAATGTTTAGTTTTTCTCAGTATCATTGCTGCTAAATTATTTCGATCTCTCTAGCTATTGATCTTGTAATTTACATTTGATCATACTAATGTGGTATGGCAACTTGGGCCAACGCACATCCATTAGGCTCTATATTCGTGATGATTGACCAATTTTGGAGTAACTGGATAATCTTTTATCATTAAGTCATCAAGAAATGTTTTTTGTTGTTGTGCCTTTTATGTTCTCTCAGAAACATCCCAAAATCAAATTTTAACTGACAAGGTACTTTTATTTAAACAAAATTTCAACCAGTCAATATTGGTTAATAGATTTTAAAATAAATAGCTGTGAGTTTCCAAATACCCGACACTTGTGCTCTTCGTATTTACTGAATAACTGGAATATATATATATATATATATATATATATATATATATATATATATATATATATATATATATATATATATATATAACTCCATAACTGAAGTCTTTGTTTTGACAAAATAATATTTTTTATGTCCACTTGGTGTTGCTTTACTTTTATCTTCCCACTGTTATTCAGGACTGCGACTGATGAGTCTCTTATTGGCATATGTGCATCTTGTGCGGATTGCCTCGATATAGCCCTAAGTCACAAGCTTTTTAAGCAAAGATGGATAGTGGCTAGCAGTGGAAACCAGGACGCGTGTTTCGTCCTATTTGGGACTTGTCAGCCGGGTGTATCTGCATCACAGAGTTGATGTTCACTCTGGGACTCGAACTCAGTACCGTTCGCTTCAAACACCATCGTGTTATTCACTTGGCTACTGAGTCCTGATAGCCACCTGCTTGTGTACCTGGTGTTGTTTTACTTGTATCTTCCCATTGTTATTTAGGACTGCAATTAATCAGTCTCATGTTGGCTATGTGCATCTTGTGCGGATGACCTCGATATACCCTAAAGTCAGAATATTCTTTATGTATATGATTTAAACAAATAAAATGAAACTGTGATATTCTCTATTTAATATTTTGTTATTCAAAGTTAATCATTCACTACTTAACTTCTATATTTCAGTATACAAATCGATTCATCTAACTTATATCCTTTCTTACTTCAAGATAAATGAGTCATTATCATCATCAACATCAACATCATCATCATCATCATCATATATCTCTTTGTTATTATCGGAATTTTGTCTTATTTTTCTATGTTTATCAAGTCATAGATGACAAGTTACCGTTTCAGTCTAATAACCTTATGTGATATCAAAAAGAAAAAAAAGAAAAAAAAGAAAAATAAGAACTGATCAAATTTTTAGATGTTTAGTTGCTTGTTTGTGTGTTCACAAAGAAAAATGGAGCACAAACTGACGTTAAACAAATAAGTGCCATTTATCAATTCTTTTCACAATTTCAATTTAACATTGTTTATAAGAGTGAATAAAACGAAATATATTTTGATTCAGATAGCAATTTCTTTTTAATTTTGAAAAAAACCATGTAAACAAACAAATAAATAAATGATTTTCAAATGTGATATAATTTAGATAATAATAATAATAATAATAAGCTTAACTTAATCTGAACCATTTCATCCTGGTATTAATAAGGGATTAACATGAGAATAGGATTATCCTATGAAAATAGATGAGTAGAAATGTATATTATTGATATCGATATAATTTCTGAAGAATATGAGTATGAAATTTATTTAGAAGTTTGACTTTATTAGCTAAAGCATTGAAACCTTAGATCTTGAGGATAAAACACAACATTCTTATATCATTGAGTAAAAGTGGAATGTTCTGCTTATGCCTAGCTTAAATGATTATTTCATTTCATAAATTATACAATTTTTACTTAATTAAACGTTTTTGGTACAGCTTCAGGAATCTATATCAAGTCTAGTTATTAGTATGTACATAATTTTAACACACAAAAGAACATGGTAGATACTGATGGGTGTTAGAATATACAGAAAGCGTTCTGTTTTTGTGATTCATCGTATAAATCATTAGTTATCTGAATACATTGGAATATTCAACAAATATGAACCTGGAAGTGTGATGCTGGTTAGCGTAGATGTATGTTGGAAAAAAGCATAGGACTATTCCTGATTAACAGTTGAACTGGGCTTTGTTGGTAGATTCAAACTATCTGATTTGGGTCTTGGCGATTACCATAACCATTAGTTAGAGAGGTTATACGGCATAGTTTAGGAAAGGTTACAGTGACCCAGGTGCATTCACTCTTTATCTTCTCTTAAGTTTTTGAGTTTTAAAATTATCGTATACATTTTGTATTCCAGTAATTCATTCCTTCTTCTGAGATCATATTGTCTATGTATTATCTTTCCTATTGCCAGTGATATAATTATTACTTCTAACAATCTAGTGTTTGTTTTTAAAATTTCGTCCTTCTTTGCTGAAATGGTGTGGAAAATTGTGCCTATGCACATATGTGCAGGGTCTTATATTGCTTATCACTGACTGGCTGGTATATATACAAAAGGAATTTATCGTCAGTATTAGATTTGAAAATAAATCACATTACAAACCGATTTAGTGGCAGTAATAGGTGTTCTCAAATTAAAAAAAACTAAACTGTACACAAAGAAAGTAAGTCACTACAGGTAGCAAAATATTAGAATGAAGCTACATTTGGCTAAAATTAAAGATTTCGGTGTACTTATTTTGTTGTCACGAAGTAATGCTAATTGCCATACTTGATTTATTAAGACATGATATTTTAAACAGGTTTTTAAAAGAAAACTTACTTTACGTTCATTCTATAAGATTGTCCTAGACTTACTGCAGCATACGGTAGGTGACATGCTGTCGATAATACTTATTTGTAATTAATAAACTTCTACTTCGATGACATTTTATTTCTTTCATTATAGGCAAATATGATGTTACAAACTATAAGATAGTCCATTATTTTATTGATTGTTTGAATCATCCCATTGATGTTTAGAACTGTAATTGATTAGTCTCTTATTAGCATATTTGAATTTTGGGCGCATTGCCTCGATATCGTCCGTAGGTCACAAGCATTATAAGCTGAGATGGATGGTGGCTAACAGTGGAATCCGGGACTCACGTTTCATCCTATTTGAGACTTGTCAATACATATGCCTATAAGAGACTGATCAATTGCAGTCCTAAACGTCAACGGGAAGATTCTAAAAACCAATACACAAATGAATTAAACTTCACGTCACTGCACAAAGCAGTGGCTATCTGAAATCACTAGCCACCATCCATCTCTGCTTGTAAACTATAAAATAGATTAACAATTCAGATTGTTGGCCGTTTGTGTTGGAGCATACTTATGCTAGTATTTAATAGATATTTTTTGGGAGGTAAACAAATTATTGTATCAAATGCTGCATTTTAAAACAGCTACATATGTCTTCAATCCTTACTTGTTGCTTTTAAATAAAAAGACTTGCAAGATTTACATGACTAAAAGTTTCATTTCATTAATCAGGTTTATGGATTAAACTTGAACTGTGCTAAAGAAAATTAATTCAGAAAGACAAGAATAACAAATGTATCAGAATAATCTAAATTCATTTATTTCATTGATTCTTTTCAACTACTTAAAACCTAGATATAATAATACTACAATTCTATTTTACATGTACGTGCCGAAGCACATAGATTGGAAGAACAGAAAAAAGAGTTATAGTTCTCAATCGCAAGTAAGTTACAACTAGGAGGTCAATATGCTATTAGGAGATCGATAATTCGTCAACTATTTGACAGTGAACAAGATGGTTTCATTTCGTAATCCTTTAAAATTGTCGATAAACAAACTGAATATTATATCTCGATGTGACATTTTAATGTGAATATAACTGTAAATAGCTGATAAGAAACCACGAAATAAAACGAATTCATGTTAATGTGTCTTAACTAGTGTTTTCGGTTTTATTCAAATTTGTAAAGGGAATCAATTTAGTAAAATCATTAAATATACTGGTACCTTTTATACATTTATTTATTTGAAACATAAACATTTTGAAATCATGGTGTAAATTAAGATGGTTACTAAAGTGAGAGATAAAATGTATGACCAATTTAGGTACATTTAACAGTTTTAACAAAAAATGGAATCTAGAACCCTTATTTCGACGTAGTTGGGACTCGTCATCTTGAAGTACCACTATTCCAATCTTGGTATTAATGCCAGAACTGAAACGCATTACCTTTCACTTCAAATTCCTGAAGCCTTATGGACTAAGCTACTTATTTCATAGAGTTACTAACTTATTTAATGAGTGTAATGTTAATATCATTAGTATTATTGGTTTGAGTTAACCCATTGTTCATATTAGGAATGAATTCTGTCCAGTCTTTTTTAGCATAACTACATTTTGCTTATAGCGACAAGTAATTTATTCCAAAAAACTTACAACATAAAGTGTATATAGAAGCAATCCTCATAGTGATATATTCGATTTCTTCACGAGACATACCAATTGTTGTATTGATCTAAGAGGTTTATTTTTATTATTTCCAAAAACTACTGATTTTCATAAAATCGCAAACACAATTTAACATACCTCCTCCAATTAAAGTTGAATTCATAGAACAGTAAATTTCTTCGTTAACAGTTTGAAATGTCGGTACAAGTTTATTGAATCCTTTCATAGATTTACATTTTAAACGTGTTTGTAATATTTCAGGATCTAATGGTCCATTTATACCCGATATAACACAACCTACGCCTTGATAAGACGGAAAGTTTTGTTGTAATGATTTTCTCTCTTTTGTCCAACCCTTTATGAAATGTTTAGAAGAGAATATCTTCTTGTAAGGTGTGACAACAACTCCTCTTCCAAGCAGTTCCACTTGCAAAACTGAAGTATGATAAACAAGTACAGATTCTCAATTTTTCACAATAAAAATTATGGATCTAAATAAGTATAAACATCAATGGCATAGTGGTTAAAGCTAAATATTTTTATTTTTCAGCACTAAATACAGATTTAATTATATATATATATATATATATATATATATATATATATATATATATATATATATATATATGTCTGAGGCTATGATGAAAAACTCATTGAAAAGAAATTTTCTCGCCTTATTCCTCGCTTCACTAAGGTTCAAAATGAGAATTTTCACTATGATTAATTACAAGTTCAAACAACCATAAGTGATAGTTGGGATTAAAGGAGAGAAAGATGATATGACACAGGAAGTATAGATCTTGATCCTTAAAATGAATGTATAATTGCTAGTGTAGATTTGGGCTTAGAACAAATTATTTTTTGATTGTGTTAAGAGGGTCTAAGTTTATCACTAAACGGGGCTTCCATAAAGTTACGAAAGCGTTTATGACCATTTCTATGTAAGGATCAAAAGCTGTTTTAAGACCAAACTTATGACTTGTTTCATTTATGTGTTTCGCATTCATGAAGCACGATTTTCTTGTCCGTACATTTATTGGGGCACTGAATGCTAACAGATTATGCAGCCATTTATATACATGTTCTATCATTCTTAACTGTAGTGTTCCGCTACTCTTCCACATGTACGTGTGTCTGAACACAAATGCACATGCATGTAATTACATTTTAAGTCCTTGGTTGGTATAAATTCTGATACTTTCCATATTATGTAGTGTTTTCTGTGCCTTATTTTGAATCATCTCTTTTCTTTTTGCTACAGTGACCTTTATTAGTTTTAGTGCCTTGAATAATATGTGTGATCAGACTGTTCGAAATATATAGTATAAATACATCATATTTTTAAAATAAACTCCATCTTCTCATTACGCAAACTGAAAATTTGTAAGAGGGCACTAATAATTTAATTTTCTTTAATTCTTTAGTTATCAGCGATTTACTAAACACAATTCAAATATGAAGTGGGGAACTGTTTTTTTATAAGCAAGTGTATTGTCTGTGCTTATTGTCTGATGATTACGTATAATAAACTAGAAACAGGCATACTGGTTTTCTTAAAAAAACTCAAAATTTCAGAAAGAAATACTAACTTTAATGGAAATATACTAAACATGTATGAAAGCAGTGTTTAATTACACAAAAATATGAATTCTCGACTGTATATTCAGTATAATTCATATCCCCTGTTACTCTTCGTGGAGGAGCATAGGCCGACCACCAGCAGATATCTCCTTGAATTATTAATATTATACATACAGATAGACATTAATTTGAAGATAAAAAAACTATGAATACAACTGTATTCAACTGATGCGTTTAAAAATTGAACGAAATAGAAATTAAAGATTTCCTTAACAGATATTATCAATAACATAATACTAATAATTTGATCAAGTTATTGAGGAATTGCACATTTTTACTAGTAATGAACAATACACAATATTATTAGCTGAATTCATGAGTCGATCTAAGCTAAATCACCACTGAAAACCTAGAAGCACTGGATGGCCGCTTCGTCCTGGTATGGGACTCCTCAGCAGTGAATACCTACGATCCCGCAAGCGAGACTCGAACGAAAGACCTTTGGTCTAGCGCACGAACATCCGACCTCTAAACCACTATGCCGGTGTCCAACGGCGATGATGTCTAACTTCAATCGATTCATGATCTTGCACAAACCTTCATCCATTGTCTGAGGAGTCCCATAGCTTCCAGGTTTTCAGTGATGATCTAGCTTGGATTGACTCATCAATTCAACTATTCAAATGACTACAATCCCCATAAATCCTAATTCTGATCATATTCAATATCAATGGTTGAGATCATGAGTCAATTTAAACCAGACCATCATGAAAAACCTGGAAGCACTGGACGGCCGTTTCTTCCTACTGTGGGACTCCTAGGCTGTGCATATCCACGATCCCGCCTCGCGAAATTCGAACCTAGGACCTATCAGTCTCGTTAGCGAGCGCTTAACCACTAGACCTCTGAGCCAGCATCCAATAGTGTTAATGTCTAACTCCAACTAATCCACGAAATTGAGTGACACACCCATTAGTGTCTTCAGTGAGTTACTATTTCACAACAGACCCGGTTGAACTCCACTGTTTACTGCTTCTCACTAGAACTCCAGGAAATACCTCTTGGAGACAGTCACTAAAGAGCATATGTTGATTATAATGATGGTTATACAATATGGTTATAGCAATAATAATTATAACAATTACTTACTTTGTATACTTAAAGCTTCTTTAGTCTCTAGATAAACATAACCATGAATTAATTGTCCACTAAAACATACCGGTAGAATAGATGAATCTAAAATAATATCTAAGAGAATACGTTTTTTCAGTTCATCCATATTTACATTTTTATATGTAATATATGCATTAGACATTTGAAATTAGTTTTCTTATTATTTAATCACAGTATAATCGAAATATAAAAGTTAACCACTGTTTTGTTTTCTTTTCTTTTTGTTGTTTTGGAACGAATTTCAACATAATGTACATAATTTCTTTCTAGCATATACTTTAAGTACCGGAATATTAATGATTGAATATATTATTGTTCTTTTTCTAAATATGATTTTATGTCATAGTTGAGATTGAATGTTAAAAGTAAAGTGCAAACGTTTAAATTCTTTATATGAACCCAATGTACATATTAAACTGTTCTCAACAAAAGTATATTAATAACCATTTACTCTTTATATATACATATATACATATATATATATATATATCTGCATTGAAACTTGAATTTAGCACTTCATTAAAACAAAACAATATTAGTAAGCATAAATGTGAACTGATAGTTAGGTATTCATTGTTATTGGTTATTTTTATTCATGTGAATCACACACACACACACATCTCTTCATCATAATTTAGTTGGATAAAAAAAATAATGACAAAGAAAATAATAATTTATATCGGATTACATGACTTATTATAAGTATCTAATTCAAAATAAAAAAAAGGAAAGGAGATGGAATCATTGAAAAAAAGCTTTAACTAGTTCTATGTGTGTGATTTGAAAGTCTTAACTAAAATAGATGTCCAGTCAAATAGAAACAGATTGTGTAATATAAGGATGTTCATATTACTCAAGCACATAATACAGTTGTAAATAGTCCAATGCTGTTTATGTTAACAAGACAGTTATATAATATGTAGTGATCAACAATATATAATGTATATATATATTCGATACTGGTTGTCTGGATTGATATTAATATTTATGTTAACATAGGTTATAGATATACAACAATCAATGTACATATAAAACTCAAAACATTTCATTATTAGGACGGTAAAAACAAATACCTATTCACATACCTATATACAAACACACACAAAGTGAAACGATATTGACCAAGTTCACGTTTACTAGAGAAAAATCAACAAAACAACAACTACAACAACATAACATTGAACACATTATTCCACTGAAGTTTTTTGTGTGCACAAAATCAATATAACTAGTAAATGAGTTGTTAGCAATGTAAATCACTCATGTACACCTAACTGAATGTACCATGTGTTTTTATTTAATGTACATTATTATTATTATTATTATTATTATTATTATTATTATTATTATTTAAATGTGCAATATACATCCATTGTCATTTAATGTTATTTTATTCAAGGTTTCTAATCGAAAAGTTAGTCTTAAATAGTAAAATGACTAAGTGCTACCAAAAACGTTTTGACTTCACATATACTTTAAAAGTAATAATACCTTAATATGTTTTAGAGAAGAAAAAAGAGAAGAACGCGAAGAAGAAGAAGAAGAAGAAAGAATACGTAAATTTGTTCAGTTATCTTGAGTTTTCATCATTTTTAAAGATGAAATAAAAGATAGAGAATTGTGTCAAGTTATTATGGCATTGAATATTGGATGATAAACGTGTTTACACTTATAATAAATTTAAGGTTAACTAATTAAAAAGAATAAAATATAATAATGTTTAAGGTGAAATTTCGTCACATAGTGCATAGGTAAAGAAATGTATGATACAATTTATAGTAAACTTATTTGTCACTGATTGAATGTAATTGAAAAGAAGAGTGATTTGAAATAAGAACTGGAGTATAAACAGTTGGGTGAATTATTCTTGGTGGTTTCTCAGAATTAGGTTGATAATACTATCGGTCCGACAACATGATACTGTTAAATGCTGTGTGACGGTTTGATGTAGAAATTAGAACGAACCACAGTTACATAGATGGTACTGTAAATGGATGGTAAGTTTATTGATGAGGATGTGAATCATGATCAATTGAGATGGTTGGGAAGAAATCTAGGCGAGGTCAAAACCAAGAAATAATATTAGTTCATGAAATCATTGAGACTGAGGATTAAATTCAAACTGCTTGATTGGCACCTCTGGGATTGACGTTAAAGATAGTTGGTTGGTATATTTAAGGATTAATTACATTAGAGTAGATGCAATCATTTCATCCTTTTGTACTGATATGGTGTGACAGCTTGAGTTGAAGTACGTATGTTTCAGGTTCTATGTTACTTATAACCAACTGTAATAGATGAAAACAGCCAGACTACTCAGAACAAAAACTGATAGAATAATAAAACGTCACTTGAAGATACAACAGTTTCATTACTTTTGTTTTAAATATGTTTACATGTACTCCTTATGCTTATTTAATTAATATAATAGTTATGAATTGAATAAATTCGTAAACACACTATTTGTTAAACAAATAACTAGTGAAATATTAAAATACAGATTAACTTTCCATAGCTTGATATATCAAATTTCGTTACCTAGATCTCTATGGAAAACTATAGATATAATTCATCATCAAACATAAAACATAGTTGTTGCAGTCAGATTTACTTTACATCAACACTAAATCATGTTATATAACAATTGAAAACCTATTGGAATCACACAGCTGTCTTGTTTTAATATGGTGCTTTTCAACAACGTGGTAGCCTTAATCATACTATGAATCGAACCCAGGAGATTCAGATATCACGTTGAACGATTAACGTTTAAATCAACGGGTTACCATTTAATTTATGATGTTGTACTATCGATTCTACTTGTCCTATCCCTAACTCACATCACGGCTTCTCATTTGAAACTCAGGAAGACTTTTCATAATTAGACACCTATGAGTACATGACTTTTATTCATAGTATGGTTAGTTTGTAGAGATTGATCACTTTGTTGTTTACAAACTACATTGATCAAAAAAACTATTCATCAACATCAAGTATACGGGACCTAAAAAAAAGTATTTACCTGTTAATCAACTTTCTCTCTACAAATCAATAATATTTCGTTACAATTTAATAATTGAGTATTTGTAAAATGAAAAATAGTTAGTTTTGATAGGAAATATATGTGAAATACTTTCTTGAATAAGCTTGGACCAGATTGCCAGGCGAAACGTTGGATTTACTTCGAATTCTTTCGCTGAGACTTTATAAATACGTACTTCCTCTTTAATATATATGAATATTATTCGATGTTCAAAGTCAGTTTATATAGCTTGTTTATATTTGTTTTAATGTCATTGTACACAATGCCTACATTAATGCTCATTTCAAAACGTTGTTGTTTTTTTCAAACATAGTTCAACATTTCACATTCTACATCTTTTTCATACTTCTATACTTACGGATTAAGTTGATATTTTTCAACTATTGGATGTTACATTAGTTTATGCTCATTGTAGAAACTTTCCAAACAGTTATTACTGATAATCGACTGATCACTGGGTGGTGATCAATGTCATGTATGTCAGGTCCTTCTTATTGCAGATCGAATCCTATCGATCGACATGGTGTACGCAATTTGGAGTTACCTAGACTGGCGGCCACATTGCACCTTGGTCGAGTCCTACAGGATGTCAGTTGCGACCCGGATAGCTCAATGGTAACGTCTCTGACTTCGAAGCTGGGCGACACGAGATCAAATCCATAAGGGAGCATCGGCTCCTTCAAGATTACAGCTTGCTGACGAGTGCTAAGTAGCACGAAGCCTATGACCGGGTTTTCTTGTTGACTACCTCCAACCACTAAGTTATTACTGAACTTAGTTATTTATAAAAAACACCATACCCTTCAAAAATATACATAGATGTTAATGTGTTACCTTTAAATGAAACTTTAAATAACTTATTTCACTTCAGTTCGAGTCAGTCGGTATGAGATCATCAAGTTAAATTTGTCTTTACTAAATTTTTAACTAAGACATCGTTACCAGTTGATAGGAGAACGTGTAATAAATTGAATTCGTATTTTACGGAAATAATCAAAGATTAAATATAGTTTTGGGTTAGCCGACAGACCACTTGTATGTGAATGTAAGTCAGCTAATTGTCCATGATATATAATTGGTTTGTAAAAAAAATTCTACTATTAGGGTTCATATGACCTTAATAATGCATTTAATATATCAGTTTTTAATATGCAATACTGTTTAATCGAAAAAAAAAACTATTTGATATAATCGCTACTAATATCAATGTTACATAATTATTTTAACTTTTTGGCTAACGGTCAAAGTTTCTCATAAAAATAAAAGTTTTCATTAATAAGAATGTAATAAAAGGAGAGTTAGTCTAAGTTTTCATTTGAGATTTTCAATAATCTTATAACATATATGCAGTGGCTTGAAAAAGACCGATTTCACCTAACAATGAATTACACAAAAGACTGATAATTGCTATTCGTAAACTTTACTGTGACTGCAAGACAACCGGTATCTGCTACTTATTGAGATGAAACAAGACTGCTACACGAATGCAGGGAAGAGAAACAACACTTTATTAGAAGGTTGATTTATTTAACAGCCACTAGTTAAACAGCACTCACAGTGATAATGATATATTACATATTTTAAATGTTCGACCAATAAACATGTCTGAATGAATTGACCTGACAGTTGATCAACAGTTTAATACGTGTATGTCATTTACATGTAATTTATTAATTGACTAGTTTGAGAAATATAATTGATCTTTGGGTTATACATTGATTTATTTCTTTTGCAATGTCTATTTGGCTAAGTGTGTGTAAACATAAATCATCCCAATCTCCCTGTTTGGGTGAAAATTTTATCTGTTTTAGGGAAGTGGAGATAAAACCCCAAAATCTTTCCAGAATTTTCGAAAATTTTGGGGAAATCAATCTACAGTCTGTGATCGTATCTCAACATTTTTTCGCATTTTGGGGATATTCTGTGAGATTTCGGGTCATCCTCAATACTGTAACCGGAAAAACCCCGAGATTGCCGATTGTACAGAAAGGCCTGTCGACTTAATAACGAGTACCCAAAAGTTATTATGCATCTATTTGTTATGTCTTCTTTTTGAACGCCACTTGTTATATCTGGTCGTTGCTGATTATTATGTGAAA